ACAGCGACAACGAACTCGGTGCTCAACAGCAGCGGAAGCGGAAACAGGTCAAGGGAGTCGGGGCGGGATGTTTGGGGAGTCCTGGCGCCCGAGAGGGATGCTCGGAATCAATTTGAACATGGTTCAGAACTGGAAGGAGCAATGGTGATCTGCACCGGGGAGTAAACCAGTGAAGCCGTACAGCCAGAAGCTATGCCACAAACCATGCCGGAAGCCTTGCAGCGACGACCAATGGAATCGACGCCTGATCAGGGGGAATATTGCATAGAAAGCGGCGCCAGAACCGGACACCAACATGACAAAATTGGCACCACAATGACACCTGAAACTGATAACCTCGGATGGGGCTAGGACGAGGACAACTCCGTTCCAGAGCGCTCCGGAACGCTCTCAGAGCGTTCCCGAACGCTCTGAGAAGGCCGCGGCGCCCGAGACGTCGCCCAGAGCCGCTGGATCTCAGAGATTCTCGATTTATCCTCGCCCCGATTTATCCCCGTCCTGGCTTCGTCTTACAACCAAAGTGACAACCGTCACCGACCCTAAGAGCACCCCCCTGTCGTCTGCGGGGCCTTGGAGTTCTGGCCTCCAGAGGCCCAAAATTGCCGACAAACCTCCCCGATTTCCCCAATGCGCTTGGGTTCTGGGTTGTGTTGGGGGACGGGCGGGGATTAGGACGGACAAAAGCACACAGGCACAAACAATCGTCGATTCTCAGTAGAATATGGGAATCTATGGGAAGTGGAAGGGAAGACGAGCATCCAGAAGACATGACAAAATACTGAAGCAGGACGAGAGATTTCCCTCTTGAAGTGGAATGCGCGAGGATGAGATCGCGAGGTAACATCGGCGCCGCCAAATGGACGGCGTCAGGACGAGCTGCGTGCAGCAACGGGGAGGAGAGATATATGCAACTTGAGTGGGGCCCCCGCGCGCGGAAAGTTGATGGGGGTGCGCGAAACAGCGCAGGACCCATCCTGGGAACTTGATGACCGAACCCCTTTCCCCCTAGAATCTTGTCACGGACGCGTTCCTGGATCCGCGGATCCAATTTGTTCAATCAATTTACAAAGGGGTATAAGTTCATTCCGTTTTTTGCAGAAGTTAGCAAATTTTCAAGAGGGGTAGAAATCGGATCCGCCGTTGAAGCTGGGACCGGACGCAGACCCGAAAAATCCGAAATCTGATCCGCGCGGACGGAAATCGGATCCGCCGACAGAGAAACCAAAGCCAAAATTTGGTCCGCGCGAACTCCATTGGATCCGACGGCAATTATTTCATACACGTCTGCTCAAGAGTTCAAGCCGTCCTTCCGGGCCCAAGAGGAAAACACTGTCGTCCTGGGGATGTATGGGGACTCCTGGGATTTGTGTATATTTATTTATATATCTCTGGTGCCCTTCATGGAATGGGTCCCAGATCTACAATATTTGGTTTAATTCTGTATGGGATCTCTGGACGTCCCCACCCTTTCCCCAGCGCGGGCTTTTCATCCCCTCTCCTTTCTCGACGACCACGGGGCCCGGCGAGGGCTCCCTGGAGGCCGACGTAGGCGGAAACTGTCCACATGGAGACCCCCAATGCGTTGGGAATCTGGGTTTGCCCTTAAGTCGGGCGTGTCCCTCTACAGGAGGAATAGTCAAAAGTAGTAGAACAATTGTCTGGTGACGATGTCTTGACAAAAATATTCTTGAACCTTTGTTTGGCAATGTTTTAAATCTTTTTTTCCAAAGTCCGCATGTAGGAGGACATGCCCGACGTAAGGCTTGCCCTGCGATGCGAAATACATGTAACGTCCCGACAAAGCACGGCCAGAGCCCCAGATCCCAATCTTGGAAAGAGCGCGTTCTGTGGTAGCTTTGCGTGTGTGGGGGGGGAAACGGACCCCCCCCCCTCCTTCCCGTGACGAAGGGGCGGGGGGGGATTCCAATCCCCCCCACCCCCCCCCTCCCCTACTTCTCCTCTCTCCCTCTCCTCGGGCCGGCGCCGGCGTCTGCGGCGGCTGGCGGCGGCGGCGGGGGTGCTGGTGGTGGTGGTAGTGGCGGTGGTGGTGGTGGTGGTGTGGTGGTGAGGTGGTTTGTGGTGGTTGTGGTGGTGGTGGGTTGCGTTGCTGGTAATAGTGGTGGTGGTTGTGGCGATGGTGGTGGTAGTGGTGGTGGGTTGTTGTATTGCTGGTGGTGGTGGTGGTGGTGAGCTGTTGTGGTGGTGGTGGTGGCTGCGGTGGTGGTGTTGGTGGTGGCTGGGGTGGTGGTGGTTTGGTGGTGGTTTGGTGGTGGTTTGGTGGTGGTGGTGGTGGGTTGAGGTGGTGATGGTGGTGGTCGTGGTGGTGGCGGTGGTGGTGGTGGTGGCTTAGTGGTTTGTGGTGGTGGTGGTGGGCTGTGGTGTTGGTGGTGGTGGTGGCGGTGCTGCTGGTAGTGGTGCTGGTAGTGGTGCTGGTGGTGGTGGTGGGTTGTGGGTGGTGGGTGTTGGTGGTGGTGGTGGGCGTGGTGGTGGTTGTAGTGGTGGTGGTGTGGTGGTTTGTGGTGGTGGTGGTGTTGGTGTTGGGTTGTGGTGATGGTGATGGTTCTGGCGGTGATGGTGATGGTGGTGGTAATGGTGTGGTGGTTTGTGGTGGTGGTGGTTGTGGTGGGGTTGTGGTGGGTTGTGCTGGTGCTGGTGGTGGTGGCGTTTTTGGTGGTGGTGGTGGTGGTGAGGTGGTTTGTGGTGATGGTGGTGGTTGTGGTGATGGTGGGCTGTGGTGGTTGTGGTGGTTGTGGTGGTGGCTGTGGAGGCGGCGGTGGTGGTGGTGGTGGTGGTATGGTGGTCTGTGGTGGCGGTGGTGGTGGTGGTGTGGCTTTCGGCTTTTCCCGCTATCGCGTTTTGGCAAAAGGTTTAGAGTCCTAGAGAACGCCTCTTGAGCTCTTGAGGTCTCGTCAGAAGTGTCTCGGGGGCGTCTGAGGAGCATGCGAGGGCTCGATATGGCGGTTTGTGTGTTCCCTCTGCGGCCTCTGGGCCTTCTCTGGTCATCGTCGCTGCGTCCCCGCCGTCGGCGCTGCTGGCCGCCGCCAGCGCTGGCGCCAGCGCCAGCGGAGGGGGGGGGGAGGGGGTTTGAACCCCCGCCCCCCCCTGCTCCTGGGCCCTCTCTGGTCATCGTCGCTGCGTTGGCGCTGCGGCGGCCGCCGCCAGCGCCTGTGCCGGCGCCAGGAGGGGGGTGGGGGCGGGCGTTTTGGACGCGACCGGTTGTCACGGTGGCCCGTTGGATGTTAGTGTGGCCCGTTGGGTGTTAGTGTGGCCCGTCGCGAGGCCAGATGGGAGTTACTGTGGCCGGCGCTGGCCGTTCAATGAAAAGTATTATGTAAAGGTATCTCGTGTTGGATCTGGGGAGATTCGCAATCCTTAAGGGTTCGCCTTCCCGCGCAGGCAAAAATGGCCACAGGAACTCCCACTTGGAATCGACGTCGTAGTAGTAGTAGTAGTAGTAGTAGTAGTAGTAGTAGCAGTAGTAGTAGTAGTAGCATGAGTAGTTGTCGTAGTAGTAGTAGTAGTAGTAGTAGTAGTAGTAGTAGTAGTAGTAGTAGAAGTAGTAGTAGTACTAGTACTACTAGTACTAGTACTAGTACCAGTACCAGTAACTAGTACTAGCAACTAGTACTGGTACTAGTAGTAGTAGTCGTCGTCTTAGTAGTAGGGAGGGAAAGAGGGGGAAGGAGGGAGGGAGAAGGAGGAAGTGATGAGGGAAAGAGGGAGGACGAGGAGTGCCATGGAATTGGGCGAAGGAGGGAGGCGATGGAGTGGGGAGGGCTCCGGAGGAGTGCTGCGGAGTGCAATGGAATGGGGAGGAGGGTGGAGGGTGGAGGGAGAGCGAGGGAGGAATGAGGAGGAGGAGGCAGGAGGAGGAGTGCCATGGAATTGGGAGGCGGAGGGAGTAGTGCGATGGAGTGGGGAGTACTCCAGAGGAGTGGGGAGGAACGCCGAAAAGCAAGATGGATGGAGTTTCGAGGAGTGGGGAGGGATGCCGAGGAGTACGGTGAAGTGCGGAAAGGTACAGAGGAGTGGGGAGGAGTTCGGAGAGGGGGGAGGAATAGAGTGAAGTGCGGAGGAGTGCCGAGTGAGATGGAGTGCGGAGGAATGGGAGGCTCTGGAGGGCTCCTTGGAGGGCTCTTTGGGGGCCTCCTTGGAGGGCTCCTTGGAGATTCTGAAGGCCTCGGAGAGTCCAAGAGGCTCTTCGGCTGCTTCAAGAAGCTCGTCGGCTCTTCGGCGGCTCCAAGAGGCTTGTCGGCGGCCACTAGAGGCTCTTCCGAGAGGCTCTTCGGTGAAGGGGGGGGAGGCTCTTTGGAGATTCCCCCCCCTTCACCGTACTCATTGATTCATACCCTCTGGAGGGCCCCTGGCCATACTAACACCCATCGGGCCGCACTAGCAACCAACGGGCCACAGTAACACCTTACCTCGGTTTTGGACCCCCCACCCCTCTTGGCTTGGGAGGGGGGGGGGTCGGAAGGGGGGGGGGGAGGGGAGTCCCCCTGGTTCTGATCGACGGCGCCGAGAGTTGGGGGGGCCCCCCCCCCCGGTTCGAAACGCGCCGCCGAATGTTCCCAAGGCAAGCGCCCATCAAACGCGCTGACTCCAATCTTGCTCCCGCATTCGTCGAGTCGAGCCGGAGCGATCGTTCGTGGCCCCGGCTGGCACGGGCGAAAACGCCCGGCGTAAAGAAACTGCAACACCCAGAAGGGATGATCTTAGCAGACAGGCCTTGTGTTTTTGTTGGGCTCCAAGCTTTATGAGGAAACGAAAGGAGAAGAGGAGGAAGAAGAAGGACAAGGAGAAGGAATGAGGAGGGGAAAGGAGGGAGGAGGAGGAGGAGGAGGAGGAGGAGGAGGAGGAGGAGGAGGAGGAGGAGGAGGAGGAGGAGGAGGAGGAGGAGGAGGAGGAGGAGGGGGAGGAGAAGGAGGAGGAGGAAGGAGGAGCAGGCATCAGTTCTCTCCGCTGGGCTGCCCTCGCGCAACCGCGGGGCGGCTCGGCAGGTCTCGGGGCTCGTCGTCGTCGTCGGCCTCCGGCCAGCCCCGGGCGCGGCGCGCGATGTGGCGCCGGGCGGGCGGCCTCGTCGGCGCGCTGCTGCTCTCCGCGCCGGCGACGGCAGGGGCGCCGCAGCCGCAGGATGCATTTGCGCGTTCTTGCGTCGGCCCCTCGGGCCGGCAGCGGCTGCGTCGGGAGGCGCTTGGCAGCCTACGGCCCTGCCCCAGACCCCTTCGGGCAATGAAAAAGTCATGACGGACAACGTTTCGCTATTTTAGGCCCCTGGGGGCGCTTACCAGGCGTGAAAAAGATTGGCTCAGGATCAAGAGCCGGTCCTGGGGAATGGGTCGAGGCCTCTGGGGGCCGACGCCAGGAACGAAATCATGACATCGGGGGTCTGGGGCGAGGGCAGGCCACGACGTCGGCGGTGAGCCGGCCTGGGGGGCGGGCGCGCTGCGGGCAAGATCGGTGCCCTTCGGGGGCGCCATGGGGCCGAGGCGCAGTGGAAGTGGACAAGATCCAGCCTCCGGGGGCGGGATTGGTATCCGCATGCACCGCGGCTCTGGTTTCCGGGGAGTGGATGGGGGGCCACATGCCAACCCTACCCCTGCCCCCCGCGATTTCTGAGTGGGGCAAGGGTACACATTGTTCATTTCTACTTCTTCGAAAGTTCTTTGATTTTGTGGGGGGCCAAGATCCTTTCATCTCTAATTGTTCCATCCTGGGCCACTTCCTGGCCACGAAGGGGCCAGGAGCAATCAGAAACGAGCACAATTAGAAATGAGCACGATTAGAAATGAACCACGTGTAGGGCTCGCATGTGACTCCGGGTGGAGCCCAGAACTTCAGGACGCAGTGGATATGGACACGGTCACGTATCTTGCCCGCGCGCACGCCTCCTGTCGGGCACCACCGCCGCCTCGTCGGCGGGGCGCCCCGCTCGCCCGTGCCAGGCACCACCACGCTCCACTTGAGTTGTGTCCTTCGGCCTCGCGGAGGGCCTCACGCGCCCTGGGCACAGCATCAAGCCAAGGCATTCTCGGGTTCAACGATCGGGGGGGTAGGCACACGGGGGGGACGCATCGACCCCCAACCGCCCACTGATCGCCGAGCCCCGACCTGCTCACGAACGTGCGGATTCACCATCGGGGCCCAGTCGCCGATGTATCGGCGATGTATCGCCGATTCCAGGTCGACGTGTTCCCCCCTATGCCAGTCCCCCCCTATCGTTGCCTCTCACAAGCAAGCTGGAAGATCACAGCACACCGATCATAGTGTTTTGTCAGTGTCGGGCTGACGTTTCGTTTCCTGCGGGGCTCTCCTGAACCGGCCTGACTTTGACAATGTGCATGCGTTGCCCCAGCACGTTCGCACGAAGTCGTGGCCCGTGCAGCGCGGGCCCCCCTGGCCAGCGGGGCTCAGACGGGAGGCGGTTGGCCCCGCTCAGTGCCTCCAGGCCTCCCACATGCTCAGGTGAGGAGAATCTCAAGCAGTGGCGAAGCGTCCTGGCTTGCCGACTGTAGGCCAACCAAAGAATGTTCTAAGAACCCTTTGTGGTCTGCACGAAATGTTCTTAGATCATTTCTGTTCGGGATTGTCTTGTCTTATCACATCGGGCTTATGCTCCAAGAACATTGTTTCTGTTCTCAGAATATTTTTTTGCTCTACGAACATATCGTGGTAGGCCTCCAGGAGTGGACGGTCGGTCCCTGCTCAAGAATCGAGACACAAGCAACTGCACAAATGTACACTGTCGGCGCTGGCCTTCCCCCCCGGCGGCGCCTGCGTCGCCGCCCCCCGGCGTCGCCTCCGCGCGCCAGGGAGGGGAGCTCCGCGCCGATCCAAGAACGCCGCGCGGAGTCTCGAGGGCCTGTGTCTATGCAGCTCTGTTTCGAAGGTGGCCAGAACCCCCACACTGACACGTCGACTGGTGAATTGTCTGTTTTCGGGTATCGTGAGGGCGTCGCGGCCGCCATTTTCCAGGCTTGCGCCCGCCAGGTTTGGGCCCGAGGTCGTTTTCACGAATCCACGTTTTACTACAGGTGGTTGTGTCCATCCCCGATTGTTCCTCATAGAGAAGATGCCGATACGAGATGGCTATTGTAAGGGTCCGGCCATCACCCAGGTGCTCGGGCCCGCCCGCCCCTGCCCCCCGCCCCCCCAGGATGACCGATAACCTGACCTTGTCGGCTGCGCAGCTCCGAAGGGGGTACGCAGTATTGGAGCGCTCGGGCAAGGAGGAGGAGGAGGAGGCGTGGGGCTGCCCAGAGCGAAAAAAGTTGGGTCATCGGTCGGTACCTCTCTCCCTCGCCCCCCAACGCGTTTAGCCTGGGTGATCGCCGAAAGCAAAGATGTTTCACAAGTCTCAGCCGCGGCTCGTCCTGGAGAGCCATCGTCGCCACGACTGGATCCCCCCCCCCCCGGCATTTCGGCCAGAATTCAGGAGGGAAAGAAACACACAGACACAACGTCGATTCCTGGGTAAAGATGAGGAAATATGGGAAGGGGGGGGAAGACAGAAACCCAGAATATGTAGGAAAATACGGGGAATCCTGTTATGTGTGTGTATTTTTTCGTGTGTCCCTGGGCCCCTTCAAGAATGCATTTCGGGAGAGGCACTTGGCCCGTCCCCATGCCCAGATCTCGGGCGCTCGTTTGCCCACAGGCGACGAAGACGGCACGATGTTCAAGAGCACTGCCGATCGCCACAGCTGCCTTGCTGCTGTGATCCGCTGTGCCCTCGAATCGCGGTGTCTTCGTCGCCTGTGTGGAACAGCAGCATACCCGGATTTTGGCGCTATGCGGTCTGTTCAGTCCGGCCTTTTCTTGACTGCGGCGTCCTCGGGCCCAGGGGACCCCCCGGACCATCAGGAGCGGCCTTGGGGCGGGCAAGTCCTGCAAGGGGTCGGGACCTCTTGGCGCCGCAGATGGAACAGACGATGCCAGCGGGCGTCGGGGAATGGAGCCCATCCCTCGGGAGAGAAAGCAACACACAGACACAAGTAATCAACGATACCCAGGAACATCGGGGAATCTATGGGAAGCGGAGGGGAAGTGAGAAGGAGAAGGCCTTCTCTAAAGGCTCGGAAGTCCCCCAGCCTTCTGAGAAGTTTTTCAAGCCTTCCCTGACGACATTGGAAATCTGTCAGGCGGCGCGAGGGCTTCTGAAAAGGGCCGCCGCCTTCTGAGAAGGCCTTTTCCTTCTCACCTCCCCCCATCGCTCGCCGCCGACAAACCTAACTCCAGACCTCCAACGCATGGCGGACGTTTTGCGCTCTTTCCGGCCTCTGGGGGCCCTCGCTGGGCCTCCAGGGTATGTTCCAGCCTCAGGGGCCGCGCCAGAAGGGGTTGAACAAGTTCATGGAACTTTGGGAAATACACCTGGAGATAAAAACATATCGGCGAATGTCTTGGCAAATGGGGTCCGAGTAGATGGGGCTGGGGATCGTACTTCATCGCCGATGCATCGGCGATGCGGCTCGATGTGGAGCTCGATTTTTTTCCACCGTCGATGCCTCGGTGATGTTGCGCGATCCTCCGACCCCATCTACTCGGACCCCAGTTGGGAGGCCTATACTCTCGGGCTAGACTGCCTCGGAGAACCTCTACCCGTCGCTTGCTGCATTCTTCATCGTCCAGGTGGCTGGATAGCCTCTGGCAGCCACGGAATGGCCTCGAACGGCCTCGAGATGGCTTCGCACAGCCTCGGGTAGCTAGCCTCGGAGTGGTCTCGAGCAGCCTGGTATTGCATCGGGTACGGCGCGAATGGCTGGGTCAGGGGTGCAGAGAAGGTCTCCACATGTTCAATCTATGGCTACCTGGTGGATGCTCCACATTCTCCTGTCGGTCACCGCCCCCCCCCCCCAGCATCCCAGCATGTACCCGTCGTTAAGTCTTGGTCTTGCCCCATTTCAGAGTCGCGCCGCTTCGTGCTTCGCCGAGAGTTGCCGCTGACCTTCTTCGAGGCGCGGGTCCGTCCTGGGGCTCTCTTACGGTGCTTAGCCACATGGGCCCTCCTGTGGCTCGTGGCACCTCGCCGGAGAACAGCGGGGACCGCCGTCGCAGACTCACGCATGCGCCCCCCCCCCCCAGCCTCAGGTCGGGCATGTCCCCCGACAGGCGGATTTTGGGCGACAAATGCAGAATAGCCCAACAATGCGCGAAATAGCCACAAATGGTTGAAAAATCATCCCCAGACAATGTTTTGACTATTTTTGAAGATTCCTCCTGTAGAGGGACACGCCCGACTTAACCCCAGCCTGAAGCCCTTCCGCTCTCGAGCCGATCGACCTTCACGAGAGACCCGCCGAGGCTGACCTGCTTCCTTCTGGGCCATGCCGCCCCGGGCGTGCGGAAAAACGGGCAGACGCGTGCGCGAAGTGTCGTGGGCCCTCAGTCGTTGCGCATTGAATTTGTCGATGATCCTCAGGACGTATGTTAGCCCAATGTGTGTTCACCCTCTTCAGCCCAATCAGTGGATCATGACATCGCATTGGTCGTGTCGAAGGGCCTCGATGGACAAACACATGTTGGGGCTAACACACGCTTTGAGGATCATCGAATTTGTGCTGCCGGCCCGCTCGGCCCGCTCTTTCTCTCGGCGGTTCAGAGATGGGCTCCTGAGGGAGGGGGTCCTGAGGACGAGGTGCCTCAAGCAACGTAAATCCTCCCTTGGGTCCCTTCCTATCCTTAGGACCCCATCCCTCAGGACCCCGCCTTTGAACCGCCGGCTCTTGACTCGCCACATCGCAGGGGAGGTGCCGCTCGGCCCGAAAAGGCAAAGGGGGGGCGACGCCTCGCGGCATTGGGCACGGTGCCGTCGAAAGCCTGCGGCAGCGCAGCGGCTGAAGCTGAGAAGAGGAAGGTCTCTTATACCGATGTCGCTGCCCCTCTCTCGTCGCCACTGCTGGACTCGCCCCGAAGTCCCGGTCAGGACGCATCCTGGGAGAGGTCCGGGGAGAAGCAGAACGTATATCGGTGTCTTTTGGTTCCCCCTATGGCGTGTGCGTGCGCGTGGAGGTGCTCGCGCCCGCACTTCTGCCCACAGCATGAAGTATCCTGTTCGGAGCGGCTGGGGCTGGTTCCATCACGTTGCCTATTATGCTTGTGATTTATGGCGGTTCGTAGCGATGGCGGGGGAGAGTCTATGCGTTGCTCTAGGTCGATCGTCAGAGAGACGCTGGATGTGTGCATGATTCGATTCGATATCGTCTTTGGTTGCTCTGCCCCTGGCTTCCATGCCAGTCAGAGGCGCTCATCCGAAGATCAAACTGGTGAGTTCATGTGTATCGCTCAGCGCTTCGCCGTTGAAGAACAAGTCGATTCTGATTTCGCTCAGCTGTCACCCTAAGGGGTTTCTTGCTGCTGAGGCCGTCCGCAGACCTCTCGAACCCCAAAAGCAGGCCTTCAACGGGAGAGGTACTGTCGACCCACAGGGCCTCTCGATCTGTAGCACTCCACACCCAGACACTTGCTTCCTATCGTGCCATGTTGATGCGTTTCAGGCTTGTCGGCCTGCCGTTTGGACCGCCCCGTCGCTTCAATGCACTCCTTATCTCTCCCCACTTGGGCTCAAGGTAAGAGTGTGCATCCCATCCTCTGACGCAACGGCCCAACGGCTTAACTACATACATCGTTCGCGATAGACCTTCGTTCTACCATACGAGCATGCAGGCTGCTTTCGTTGCCGTCTTCCTGGCCTCTGCCGCGATCCCTTCGCAGGTTCAAGCCAGGACTGGGCTTGTGCAGAGTAAGAGCACCTTGCGGGCGACTGCAAATGTCGACCTTTTCCAGAAAAACCTGCGTGATGCCATCGGCGACATGTTAGGCTGTGGACAGGGCAATCAGCAGAACGACCTGGACACCATCGAGAAGAAAGTGTTGCCGATCTGGAACTCTCTCCCGAAGAGCGCAAACGGGCGCATCGAGCGCCCTCTTCTTCGTTACATTGTCTACCGCTACTTCATGGGCACGTCTTCGCTGGTGATCCGCGGGTTCGAGCAGTCTTCGCCGGTGAACGAGTCTGCGGCGCACATCCTCAGCCAGCAGGTGTATGCGCAAACGGAAGTGTTGTATTCGAATGGGCCTACCCAGCCCTCGGCAGCTATGTGTAGTGGCGTGGCGGACCGCGCTATCCAGCCAACACATAGGATAAAACACCTTGCCATAATAACTCTAGGAGCACATCCTTCGTCGACTGAGGGAGGGAGGGAGTTCCCACTGGGGTCGCAGTTAGAGTTCCCTGCGGGGCACGAGGCGTGCGAGCGGTGTGCAGAGATGAGTGCGCCGACGCGACGCGCACGCCCCCACTGGGGCAGTAATCGGGTCTCTATCGCGGGGTTGCAGGACGCGTGAGGGAGGTTGCCGAGATGAGCTCGCCGGCACGATGCGCACACCTCTATTGGGGCCGCAGTTGGAGCTCTCAGTGTAGGACGAGCAGTGTGAGAGGCGTGCCGAGACGCGCGCGCCGACCCCAGGTGACCCCTCCCACTGGCCTGAAATTGGAGCTCCCAATGTAGAACGAGAAGTGTGAGGGGTGTGCCGAGATGAGTGCGCCGACGCCATGTGGCCGTATGAAGTCGAGGGTCCTGCTCGGATCGATGCGATTCGATCTCGGGTCCTGCGGGCCCGATGTGGCCCGATGCTTGCATGGCGCTGTTGTGCATCCTGACGCGGCCGATCCGATTCGGTCTCGATTCCAGTTCGTGTAGCAATACTCTTGACGGGCGTGTTGGACTTTTGATGTTCACCGATGCATGTTGCCCATATGGAACGGATCACGCCCTCCTCGCAAGCGGGACGAGACTTCTTGGGGCGGTCGATCAGACGTTTACTCGGGGGAAAACAAACCTACCTCGCTTCTGACCACCCTCGCTTCCAAGAGATACCAAACGATGCCAAATTGCGGCCTGTACTGGTCAGGCCGCTTGACGAGGAGGCGCGTGGTATGGCTTGGTTTTGCCTGGAAGCGAAAGCGGGGGAGGTAATTCACGCTCTGATTTACGTTTGCATTCCGACCATATTCACGTTGAGGTCCAACCCGAGCTCTCGACTCGATGCTGCCGGATCTTGCCGAGGGCCGTTCCGAAACGAGCGCGCTGGCGCGAGCCGCGCTGGCTGGCCGAGGCGGTGGCGCCAGGGCCTCCCGCGTGGCGCGCAGCCTGTCGGGGGTGCACCGCACCCTGCGACGTGGCGGGGAGGGAGGCGGGGCGGGGAGGTCCCAGGGAGGAGGATCCTGAGGAGGAGGAGGAGGAGGAGGAGGAAGAGGAGGAGGGGTAGGAGGAGGAGGAGGAGGAGGAGGAGGAGGAGGAGGGGAGGAGGAGGAGAAGGAGGAGGAGGAGGGAGGAGGAGCAGGAGGAGGAGGAGCAGGAGGGAGGAGAGGAGGGCGGTGGAGAGGAGGAGGAGGAGGAGGAGGAGGAGGAGGAGGAGGAGGAGGGGCAACGATATGGGGGGGATCAGATCAGGGGGGAGAACGCCTCGACCCAGTCGACCAGTGATGGCGCCATAGTGGTCTGATGGCCCCTCCCCGCCCTCCTCCTCTCCTCCTCCTCCTCCTCCTCCTCCTCCTCCTCCTCCTTCTCCTCCTCCTCCTCCTCCTCCCCCTCCTCAGGAACGCTCGGATGTGCCATCCGGGACCCATCGCCGATCTGTTGGCAATGCATCGCCGATTCCAGGTCGATGGTTCCTCGGTGGCCTTCTGGCACCCTCTTGGCGCCAACATGGGGCGTTCTTGGGGCCGGTTTGGAAGCCGCTTGGGCCCGGTTTTGAGTTTTCTTAGCTAATTTTGGAGCCATTTCGAGGTTCCGAAAGTCCATCAGAAACGATAAGGCGAAAAGGCAGCAGCCACTGATTTGTCAAACCAGTTGGTCGACCACCTGCGCCCAGAAGGCAGGTGGGATGTGCTGGCACCCCAGATGTCCTTGTAAAATGCCAATACGAAATGGTTGCGGGGCGGCCGCGCATGCGCTAAATGTGGAGGCAGAGTGCGTTTTGTTCCCCACATGCATAGTGGGGTTCTGGTTTTCTTTCCCTGCCGCATCGCACCCGCGTTTCTCCTCTTCCTCCTCACCCCTCCTTCCCTCTTCCCTCCACACATCCAGGGGCTGGTGTGATGATTCCCTCTCTCTTTTTCTGGTTCCCCACATCAGGACAAGCAGACACATGAGCACACAGCAGACACACATCCACAGTCGACATCACAGTCATCACATACATCCACCATACACGCAGCACACAGACACACAGCACACAAACAGCACCCGTACACAATACCAGCACAAACAGACACAGCACGCACACGCAGCAAACAGGCAAACAGCACACAGACGTGCAGGGGGTGGTCTCTCACCGCGGTTCTCTATCCGTCTCAGGGTCGGGGGCGTGGCAGGCGTGGCACTTTCTCGACGCCAGAGAGGGTGCGCAGGGGGTGGTCTCTCACTGGTCTCTCTATCCGTCTCAGGGTCGCGGGGCGTGGCAGGCGTGGCATTTTCTCGACACCAGAGAGGGTGCGCAGGGGGTGGTCTCTCATTGGTCTCTCTATCCGTCTCAGGGTCGCGGGGCGTGGCAGGCGTGGCACTTTCTCGCCACCAGAGAGGTTGCGCTGGGGGTGGTCTCTCACTGGTCTCTCTATCCGTCTCAGGGTCGCCGGGCGTGGCAGGCGTAGCACTTTCTCGACACCAGAGAGGGTGCGCAGGGGGTGGTCTCTCACTGGTCTCTCTATCCGTCTCAGGGTCGCGGGCCGTGGCAGGCGTGGCACTTTCTTCTCGACACCAGAGAGGGTGCGCAGGGGGTGGTCTCTCACTGGTCTCTCTATCCGTCTCAGGGTCGCGGGGCGTGGCAGGCGTTTCTCTGCGCAGGGGGTGGTCTCTCGTGGGAGAGAGAGAGGGTGCGCAGGGGGTGGTCTCTCACTGGTCTCTCTATCCGTCTCAGGGTCGCGGAGTGGACAGGCGCAGGGGGGCACTGACATAGGGTGCGGGTCGGTCGCGGGGCGTGGCAGGCGTGGCACTCTCGACTGCGCAGGGGGTGGTCTCTCACTGGTCTCTCTATCCGTCTCAGGGTCGCGGGGCGTGGCAGGCGTGGCACTTTCTCGACACCAGAGAGGGTGCGCAGGGGGTGGTCTCTCACTGGTCTCTCTATCCGTCTCAGGGTCGCGGGCGTGGCAGGCGTGGCACTTTCTCGACACCAGAGAGGGTGCGCAGGGGGTGGTTTCTCACAGGTCTCTCTATCTGTCTCAGGGTCGCGGGGCGTGGCAGGCGTGGCACTTTCTCGACACCAGGGGGTGCGCAGGGGGTGGTCTCTCACTGGTCTCTCTATCCGTCTCAGGGTCGCGGGGCGTGGCAGGCGTGGCACTTTCTCGACACCAGAGAGGGTGCGCAGGGGGTGGTCTCTCACTGGTCTCTCTATCCGTCTCAGGGTCGCGGGGCGTGGCAGGCGTGGCACTTTCTCGACACCAGAGAGGGTGCGCAGGGGGTGGTCTCTCACTGGTCTCTCTATCTGTCTCAGGGTCGCGGGGCGTGGCAGGCGTGGCACTTTCTCGACACCAGAGAGGGTGCGCAGGGGGTCTCTCACTGGTCTCTCTAGGGTCGCGGGGCAGAGTTCTCATTGGTCTCTCTATCCGTCTCTTTTTCTCGACAGAGGGGGTGGTCGGTCTCTCTATCTGGGGTCGCGGGGCGTGGCAGACTTTCTCGACACCAGAGAGGGTGCGCACCTCATTGGTCTCTCTATCCGTCTCAGGGTCGCGGGGCGTGGCAGGCGTGGCACTTTCTCGACACCAGAGGGGGTGCGCAGGGGGTGGTCTCTCACTGGTCTCTCTATCTGTCCCAGGGTCGCGGGGCGTGGCAGGCGTGGCATGTTCTCCACTCCACAGGGGGTGCGCAGGGGGTGGTCCGTCACCGCGGATTCTATCCGTCCCAGGGTCGCGGGGCGTGGCAGGCGTGGCATTTTCTCCGCGCCACGGGGGGTGCGTAGGGGGCAGGTATCGCGGGTGCATTCCATCAGTTGCACTTGCATGGGTTTGCGCAGTATCCAGATCTGTAAGTACTCTGGCTCAAGCCAGCTCGGAGCGCCAGGGTACCGAATCGAAGGCCGCAGTTGGTTGTTGCGCAGGCGCGCTAGCCATGCCGCCTAAAATTGCCATGGGCGAGCTGCCGCCTCCGTGCTCGTCGCTGAAGAAAGAAATGATTCAGAATGGCGGCGAGGTAAGCTTGGCAGGCTTACGCTGCTGCTCTGAAGCGACGGTGGTCCCCGCATTTCACGCGCACCGCCGCCAGCTGAAAAATTGGTGGCCCAATACCTTCCACGTCCAGGGCACAGCGGTATCGGCGGGGTAACGGCCACCAACATCATTCTCACATGCTTCACTTCAGCTCTCATCACTCCAGCCATAATAGAAGTATGTGGGGTTCCTCGGTAGCGTATTTTTTCTTTGACAGGATGATGGGGGGGGCCTCATGGGGTCCTCATTGTTCCGGGTTGGCTGCCGGCCTGGTGGGGGAGGGGGTGTATAACAATAGGGAACAGTGATAAGCCCCTCTCCCGAGCAGGGGAAGGAGGGAGCTCTGGCAGAGAGAAGGCAAAACTCGCTGAACCACCTACGCCCCGAGGGCTGGTGGGATTCGGACGCCGACAGGTGCCCGCGTACGTGGAGGCCGTGCTGCAGTCGCAGCATGCCCAGGACCACGGATTCGACCTTCAGGATGCGGTGCACGTGGTGGCCCTGCTGAGGAGCCCCTGCGGCGGGAGGGGCCGGCCTGGGCGCGTGCGCCCCGGCGCCAGTGCGCATGCGCATGCCACGGGCGCCGAAGAGCCAGACATACTCCGAAGCCGCTACGGCCAAGACGCTGAATCAAGGGCCACCCGTCGGTGGCAAATGGTGGGTGCCTTGTGCACCCTCGCAATTTAGGAGTGCAGGTAGCATCGGTTGTCGTCTGGTAGTCGATGAGGTAGCGCCGCTTTAGCGCCCATCAGCGTCAATGCAGCGTCGACTAGCGTCGACCAGCGTCGATTCCCAGGAGCCAGCAGGCTGGCATGGGAGGCTTCCATGAGCTGCCACCGGAGGACCACCCTGACCTCGGGAGGGGCTCTGGTTTTCGGGCCGATTTGCAGAGGCAGGTCGAGGAACCTCTTCGTGGTCAAGGCTCGCCGTGCCCAGAAAAAACCCTTCGTTTCTCATGTGGCGCTCCTGGTTCATCATGGTAGCGCGAGCGCTGTGCCCTTGCCTCGGTTGTGCCTTGCTGGGCCTCCTGGGAGGCCCGCGCCGCCACGGCTGGATTCGCTTGGAGATCCCGGTTAGAACGCCCCCATGGCAGATGTCCGGGGAGCTGCGGTATGGATATCATTTGGTGTTCCTTGGCATCGCTCGGACGTGTGCATTTTTTTCGGCGAGGTCTATCCAGGCGCATCTGGTCACCCTGCGAATGCATGAACGCACGCAATCGAAGCATGCGCGGAGAATGGACGTCCGAGGGATGACAAGCTTCCCCAGTGTATCCGTCGCCTCGGAGCCGTGCCCCGGGACCTCCAGGACCTCCGAGGATGAAATCTTCGAGGACATCTTCGAGGATGAAACAATGTATACAATCAGCGTGCTTAGTAAGGACGTGCGCCTTCATCTAGGTTACCCTTGCGTCCTTGCCTCTGCGGCCCGTCCGTTGCCGTTTTCATTGGTCGCCCGCCGCCCGAGAAACCCCAACTTCGGCCTCCAAGGGTCTTGCGTCCTTACCACCCGTCCTTAATACACGTTTTGACTGTACGCATGACCTTTCCGGGCGCCCCGCGGGGAAGAAAACCCGTACGGTCGGACCGAGGTATCAAATCGAGGTCGGTTCGGGGACGGTACCCTAATGTTCTTCGTGTTGGTTAGATTCTCTGGTGCATCCTGGGGAGGGTTGCCCTTGGCTGTTCTGTAAAGAACGTATGTTTTGGCCAGCGGAGGGTCTCGTGTTCTTGAAGGATGCTCTTCTGTCCTAGGTCCGACTGTATACAGGTGAATTTTCTGGGCGCCCCGCGCGGATTTCTTGGATCGGTGCTGGGGCCCCCCTAACCGCGCGCTAGGGAGGTTGTCCAGCGCAGATCCAAGAAGTCTGCGCGGAGCTCCGAAAGGTTATGTGTATGCAGTTGGCTGGTCCTCTATCGAGGAGTGTTGGACATGGACATCTGCCCGCCCCTGCGGGCACGAAGATATCCACATCCACGGCTCCCAAGGGTCCCAGGGGGTTGAAGGAATCCAGCAGCCGTGGTGTCGGATATCACCCGGCGTCGCGTTGAGTGCCCCTTTTGGGCCCTTGGGCCGGTTCACGTCGAAATTAGAGGCGACACCCAGAACTGTGTTTGTTTCTTTCGTGGCCTTGCATGCATTTGTTTCATGGAGCCAGCGTCCCCTAGATGAGGATGCAATTCATGGGAAATTTGATTCAGCATCCGCGCTAGTTCATCCGTGGTCGAAAACCGGCCGTATCCAGCACACTCCGTTTTATGTTGCTTAATCCCTGGCTGAATTCGGCCTGGTCTGACTTAGTGGCCACTCGGTCGGGCTTTCATCGTTCGTATTCGGACCTCTCTGGAGTTCCTTTCTATCCTAGATCCTTATGTGTGATGCATTATTGCTGCCCCTGCTGCCGCAGGCGCCACTGCTGCGGACACAGCTTTGGCGGCTCCTGCTTCTGCACCTGCTGCTGCTGCTGCCGTCATGCACGTCCTGAGGTTTGATTGATGGGCTCCACAAGAAGGCATTGCTTCCCAATGGCAGAGTTTCTGGGAATCCCACGTCGCCCCCACGGGCGCGAAGAAGATCGCGTGCCGCGCGTCGCGGCTTCGGCGGGACTGCTGCCCTTCTCCGCGAAGAGAACCGCTCGTCACCGCGATCGCGGGGCGCGACAAGCGAAATCACGTGATCTGGGGTCGGCGTCACCCCAACATATTGATGTTATGTGTGCGTCGCCCCCGCAGGGGCGACGCGCGAGCCGAGAACCCTTATATAGGATAAGCTCCGTGGCGGGCGTGTTCTGGCCATACCGCTGGGAAACAACACGCCACAAAAATGTTTGTGTATTATATGTTCGGGTGGGACGGACGCCTCCGAGGAGGACACACAGTACTAGCAGGTCCTTTTTGCCTCCCATATGGAGTGTGCAGGCAGTGTTGCCGACTGCCCGATGGTACTGCCAAGGGCTGAGTGGTTGCGCAGCTGCCGAAGCCGCATCCTATCAGCCTGATGGCCCCCCACAAGGGGGCGGTGGACTCCACTACCGCTAAGTGCTCGGAGTTCCCGCGCAAGTATGAATGTAAGGCACCAGTCTGTTCTTGGAGCCGTCTGGGGGTCTGAGGTGGCCCAGCATTGGTTGCGGCCAGCAGGAAGGACGGGCAGATTCGAGGTTCTGGGTCCGGGAAGTTTTTTTGCCTTGTTCGGCCTCCAGAGACCGCGTTGGTGCCCCGTGACTATCAGAAACGGATGAGAGAGAGAGAGATGTGTGTATAGAGAGAGAGAGAGAGAGAACAACACAAACAAAATGTGCGCAGAAAGCGCGCATGAGCACGAGCAACAGTGTCAGAGGGCATCGCAATACCACGTGAGGGTCGCGTGCCAGGCTGCGATGGTCTGCACTGAATCTTGCCACAGATGCGCAAGGGCCTCCGCACCCCCCGCTGCCCAGACAGCGTGCGCATGAATCTCAGAACACCATGTCCTTCTCGGTCGCCCCCTTTTTTCTCTTGAACATGGACAGAGCCAGGTCGTGTGAGAAAGGCCAGCAAACCTTCAGCCTCACGGGGTCGTCGCCTAGCTTCTGGGCAACGTGCCCCAGGAAGAGCAGCTGGCGGCGAAGCAGAGCGTTGCTCAGCGGCTTGGATCTGGCGCGCTGCAGGACGCACGCATTGGACACTCTGCTTATGTAAGAATGCGGAATGCTTTGAACTCTGCGGAGGTACCTGGCTTGGAAGGCATCCAATATGCAAAGCTCTTGTCTGTTCAGAGAAGGCGTGTTCTGAAACGAATCCAGAGTGAAACAAAGTGCGCCAGATGGGCCCTGGGAGGAGTCACGGGACCAGTTTTGAGCGGATTTGGCTTCATCCACCCTCCTGGCCGATCTTCTGGGGCCCCAGCCAGATCAAACCCCCCGGCCGCCTCCGAGTCTGCACCGTAGCCGATTCGATTGCACGCTGCTCCCCGTAAGGCTTGTACGACAGTTCTCGTCGATCCGCTGTTTCGCGTTGCAGACACCACTGCAATTGGGAGGATGCCGTTGCATCACAAAGCCGATGGTGCTGCTACGAGTCGAACTAGGTCGGGCATGTCCCCCTGCAGGCGGATTTTGGGCAAAAAATGCAACATTGCCAACACAGATTCCCAAAGATTCAGACATGGTAGAACAATTGCCCCTATTTTTTGTTTGAACTATTCTTGAATATCCCCCTTGTAGAGGGACATGCCCGACTTAAGAGTAGAGGTGTTTCCGTGTCTGCACGGGTGTGGGGCCGGCCGCGGCCGCGGCCGCGAGCACCGGCCCAACCACTATAGATTGTCACTCTGCCACCGCTGTGCGACGGTCAATGGTCAGCGCCGTTGGTCGCAGCTTTTTCACTGGCACGGTTAGATTGCCTCTTTCGGTACTGTATCGTTTAACCGATCCCCATCCCCATCCCAATCCCCTTCGAGACCCCCACCAAATTACCACCCCAGTTGGGAATACACCCCTCGAAACCCGAAGGTAACGACCTATATCCCATCTAGGCGGGGTAAATCGGCCAGTGGGACCCAGACCACGCCGCTGGGGATGGGGATCGGTTAAACAATATTCATCGTGTCAACACAATTGTATATACATGTGTTAGCCAGCGTGTGCCCCAAACAGTGGCTCGTTGCAGTGTGTGCGGTGCAATCGAGGGGGAGCATTCCATGTGGTGCAACCTAGGCGGTGCAATCCATGTGGTCCGATGCAACGCAATGCCACGCAGTGCAAAGCGATGCAACGCAATGCAGAGCAATGCACAGGAATGCACTGCGACGCAAAGCTATTTGGCCGAGTGCAAAGCAATGCACAACGATACAAAGCGATGCCAAGCATTGCAAAGCAATGCAAAACAATGCAAAGCAATGCAAAGCGAGCCAAGTCAATGCAACGCAATGCACATCAATGCAACACGATACAAAGCGAGCCAAGCAATGACAAGCAAAGCCAAACAATGCAAAACAATGCAAAGCAATGCAAAGCAATACAAAGCAATGCATACCGCTGAACATCACTGCAAGGTACTGGGAAGCAACGCTAAGCACTGCCGAGCAATGCAAAGCGATGCAAAGCAATGCAAAGCATTGCAAGGCAATGCAGAGCGATGCAAAGCAATGTCAAGGCAATGCAAGGCGATGCAAAGCAAGCAAAGCAAGACAAAGCAATGTAAAGCGATGCAAAGCACTGTAAGGCACTGGGAAGCAATGCTAAGCACTGCCGAGCAATTCAAAACGATACATGGCGATGCCAGCCAAGCATTGCAAAGCATTGCAAAACAATGCAAAACAATGCAAAGCAATGCAACACGACCCAAATCAATGCAACGCAATGCAAATCAATGCAACACGGTACAAAGCGAGCCAAGCAATGACAAGCACAGCCAAACAAAGCAGAGCAATACAAAGCATTGCAAAGCAAAACGAACCAATGCACAGCGATGGAAATCATTGCAAGGTACTGGGAAGCAATGCTAAGCGCTGCCGAGCAGTGCAAAGCGATGCAAAGCAATGCAAAGCATTGCAAGGCAATGCAGAGCGATGCAAAGCAATGCAAAGCAAGACAAAGCAATGTAAAGCGATGCAAAGCACTGCAAGGTACTGGGAAGCAATGCTAAGCACTTCTGAGCAATGCAAAACGATGCAAGGCGATGCCAAGCATTGCAAAGCAATGCAAACCAATGCACAGCAACGCAAAGCAATGCAAAGCGAGCCAAATGAATGCAACGCAATGCAAAGCACTGCAACACGATACAAAGCGATCCAAGCAATGACAAGCAAAGCCAAACAATGCAGAGCAGTACAAAGCAATGCAAAGCAATACAAAGCAATGCAAAGCGATGGAACTTACTGCAAGGTACTGGGAAGCAATGCTAAGCACTGCCGAGCAATGCAAAGCAGTGCAAAGCATTGCAAGGCAATGCAGAGCGGTGCAAAGCAATGCGAAGCGTCGCAGAGCAATGCGAAGCAATGCAAAGCAATGCGGTGTCGGGCTGCGACGAGCAGGTTGGACCGCCACCCGGGCCCAGCGGCGACGGGCGACGACGAGCTGGCCTTAGCGGCACCGGGGCCGAATTGCCTCAGAACGCAAGTAAGGACCCTTAAGTGCAAGCAGTGCTCGGAGAATAAGCGGTGTTCTCTGATTCGCTGCTGCGTCCATTCGAACATATGCGTGCAGCTGATACTGTGGACATCGTCGCTGGTGTCGCAATCGATGCGATGATGCATGCCACTTCCGTTGAATCCCTTGTGCTGCGCAAGCGAGGAAGCTCATCGCCGACAGCGACACGCAGGCGCTCGAGACGATTTACAATCTTCGCGGCGAGAAAACCAATGTGCCTCTCAGCCGCTATGGTCTGCACGTTGTCCTGCGTGACTATTTGGTACAGTGGCTTATGTTTGAGGACTCGGAGTCCCTGAAAGAATTCCAGAGGCACCCTGAGAGGCTCAACTCAGATTTCCCACAGTGGCACCGGATCATGATGTTCAGGGACGGGCTGGTCAAGACTTTTGATTACAATCGCCACCGTGCTGGGAAGGGATTCAGCCAGTACACTTTCAGCGACGTCCAAGAGATCATCTCGTCTATACGATCATCTTTCGCATACTTCTGGGATGACATGTGCATTGAGATGAGGACCATGCTTGTAAATATGGACACGTACAAAACAGGCCGCGTGCCGCTCAAGATGTTCTACTCCAGGCCGTTCAGCAGGGAGTGGCGCTTCGCCGAGTCGGAAGACTACCTGCGTCAGTTAGGCGCACTGGACGAGACTTCCCTGTGGCACAGCTCGGAGGTGATCATCCCGAACTATCGAAAACGCTCCTGGCAAGTCAACGCCGCCACCCGTCCGTTTTTCCGTCAAAGTTGCTCGCTATAGGGGCCCAAGGGTGGCCAGCTAATTTCACAAGGGGGAAAGGTAGGTACCGATACTGCTACCCTTCCCTTGCCACCACGGCTGGATTCTCCTCGAAATTCTTATCTCTTCTCGTACCTCCATCAGCCTATCCAGGAACGATGTCCCGGTAGCTGCCCTTGACAGGGGGGCGTTGCATAATTTGGAGAGATCGGTGAACCTCCGTGGAACAGAGGCTTTTTGGATGTCTTTCGGAGTCCCTTGGGATGTCTCTCGGTGTCTCCTGGAACCTCTTAGAGCTTCTTGGGTGTCAATGAGCGGCTCTTCGGGGCCTCTTGGGGCGCATTGGGGGCCTCTTTGAGGCCTCTTGGGACGTCTTGGGTGTTTCTTGGGGACTCATTAGACAGATTGGGGGCCTCTTGGGAGCTTCTTTGGAGCTTCCTGGGGCCTCTTGGGCGCGTCTTGGGACACTCTGGGGGATCTCCTGGGAGCTTTTCGGGCCGTAGTGGGGCCATCCTGAAGACGGTTGATCAACGAAGGGGGGTCCTCAATCCGCATTCTCCCCCAGGAAGCCAACATTTGCCCCAAACCTGCGGACAGTTACCCTCCCTCGTTGGTGCCTTCTTCTTGGACGCTCTGACCGCTTCCCGCCCCCCCCTCCGGTCCAGACCCAGGGGGAAGGGGACAGAGGGAGGCGTCAAGTACCCAGCGAGAACGCCACAAGCCGTGTCGCTCACTCCCGCTCCTCCTCCTCCTCCTCCTCCTCCTCCTCCTCCTTCTCCTCCTCCTCCCCCTCCTCCTCCTCCTCCTCCTCCTCCTCCTACCCCTCCTCCTCTTCCTCCTCCTTCTCCTCCTCCTCCTCCTCCTCCTCCTCCTCCTCCTCTTCCTCCTCATAAGTAGCACCCCGGTCTCAGTATAGGCAGGGGCCGCCATCGGCAACTATCGGGAACCAATGCAGACGCCAGCCCTCGAGCTGCGCCGCACATGCCAGGTGCGCCACGCGCGCCATGTGCGCCACATCTGACAATAAACAACCTTCCCATCCGTGTCAAAAACCATGCAACGTGACGGCGGGTTTGCGTGCATTGTGTATTGTATGCGGGCGCGCGTCGTGCGCGGGCGCGCACGACGACGACGCCCGTGTTTTGATTGCGTGTTGTTTTGACCGTGTTTTGATTGCGTTTTGTTTCTAATTTTCCTGTGGTGTTGGGTCTTCGTTTTGAAGAGACGGCGCCCCGCGTTCCTCTCCTCTCCTTCCTCCTCCTCCTTCCCCTCCTCCCTCCTCCCTGCGTCTCACCCACCCAGTACAGCGTTTCGTGGCCAGGGATCTCAACCGAAGGCCCCAGTGTTATTGCCTGCATGCGTCCCCCCCACCCAGTACAGCGTTTCGTCGCCCCATGGGGAGCTCCACCGAAGGTTCCAGCGCTACCGCCCGCATGCGTTCCCCCCATCCGGTATAACGCTTCGTGGCCTCATAGGGAGTTTCACCGAAGGTCCCAGTGCCACCGCCAGCATGCGTCTCCCCCCACCCAGTACAGCGCTTCGTGGCCCCATAAGGAGCTCCACCGAAGGTTCCAGTGCTACCGCCCGCATGCGTCCCCCCCACCGAGCACAGCGCTTAGTGGCCCCATAGGGAGCTCCACCGACGGCCATGCGTCTCCCCCACCCAGAACAGCGTTTCGTGGCCATAGGGAGCTCCACCGAAGGCCCCAGTGCTCCGCCCGCGTGCGTCCCCTCCACGAAGTGCAGCGCGCCGTGGCCCCATATGGGGCTCCACCGAAGGTCCCAGTGCTACCGCCCGCATGCGTTCCCCCCCAGCCAGTGCAGCGCCTCGTGGCCCCATAGGGAGCTCCACCGAAAAAGATATTCACAATTGCGGTATTCACAACTGCATATGGTTGGGTCCTTCGGCAGGATACTTTATTTGTCGTCCAACATCCGTCTGTAGGAGGCCATGCCCGACCTAAACTTTAGCACGCCCCAACCTGCCAGGGGGCACAGTGGCGAATATCGACAAGGAACAGTGGTCAGGCCACCATCGACAACCATTGGGAACCAACGCAGGCGCCAGCCAGGTGCGCGATGCCCGCGAGGCGCGAAGCACGTGCCAAGTGCGCCACGCCCACCAGGTGCGCCACATTGGGCAGTGAATGTGCCGACCGTCCCACCATCCCTGTCAACAACCATTGCAAAGTGACGGGTGGGTTGCGAGTATGGTGTATTGTGTGCGGGCGTGTGCCCGCAACCTCTCAGCATGTGTTTCTCGGAAGCGTGGTCCAGGCCTGCACACGGCAGGCAGCATGCCGCCCCCCCCCCGCCGTCCATGGCAAAGTGAACCTCGTTTCCCTCCTGCACGCAGCAGGCAATGTGCTGCCCCCCCCGCCGGCCCTGTCAAAAACCAATGCGGAATGATCCGCGGGCGTCCGCGCATGATCCAGGTTTCAGTGAGACGAGCACGTGGTTCCCTAAACTATGTTTGTGTTTAGGGTGTCTGGGTTCACTTCTCGGGAACTGGGCCTGCGGGCGGGTTCGGCGGTTATCTTGTCGCCGCCGCCGCCTCGTCGCCGCCTATCGTCTGGGCCTGCGTGTCGGTCTGGCAGCTACGTGCCCGCCGTCGTCGCCGATCTACGTGTTGCGTGGATCTCCCCCGCCCCCCCTTCGGATCATTCGTTCTGAGTGTGAGCGCGCGCCATCCCAGCCCAATCGGTATCGAAGCCCCCGCGTATCCTTGACAAGTACCTTCGTGCGCCCACACTTTCGTTGATCACGGAGCCCCTTGCAACAGTGCGACAAAGTCGACACGCGCGCGCGTCGTCGTGCGCGCATGCTGACATTGTTCACACACCGCGGGTTTCGCAAGGATTTCAAGGTTGAGGCCCCCGACAACCTCTGGAACATATTGGTTTTGCAACCTGCTTCTTCAAAAATATGCGCGCGCCCTTGCGAGCTCTTAGGGCAAGAAAAAGGTTGCTCTGCATGTTCATCAAAAGGGGCCAAGCTGGTCTTTCGCGCGCATATTGAAATTAGTTGAACGCCCTTGCGCGCTCGATTGTGGGGGCACATGCTCCCTGTCAAATGATACTACGCGGGCCACTCGCACCAGGCAGCGTGCGCATGTCATGTCCCCCCAAATTTTCATCACCGACGCGTGGACACCGTCATCGTCGTCGGCGTGATCAGCATCGGCGCCGTCAGTGGCCTCGCCGTCGTCATCGCCATGATCGTCACCAGCGCCGCTACTGTCTTATCGCGTTTGGTGCCGACGTCGCCATGATGACGCGCCCGCCTGAGTCACCGATTCGCACTGGAGCGTCCGCGCGCCAGCGCGGCCATTCAGACGCGGCGGGAAGTGCCCACCGGTCCGCGCCACCGCGGCCGCGGCGGTCGCGCCAGCTTAGCTGTCCGCTCTGCGCGCGAGCCTGCGCGCTAAAGCGCGACCGCTGATTTGCGCCAGGCAGCGCCAAGCAGTCATCGTAATCGTCACCGCGCGGGTTTTGCTAACGACGTTGCGGGCAGACGGGCGGGATGATCGCGCGAGCAGTGGGTTGGACAACCTATTGCGAACAAACATGCTGCACCGCGTAAATCCTCCTTCCTACCAGGAATATACATTCTACTTCTCCCAGCTGTATCGTTTCCTGTGCGGCAGCACAATGCATGCTGCATGCGGTTCTGACCCAATGCTCATGTGAGATATGAAGTCATAGCATCCCTGCCAGGCCCCTTGCCGCCTTTTCCGCTCACTCCTGTCAATTAATATTATGCGCGCACACTCGCGCATCGCAAACCACGCAATGTCAACCATCCCTTGCAACATAAGGTATCACGTCGACTCGTGCGCGGTGTCGCCCGCATGTCGAAATCATCTAACAACAATGCAGGTTCCGCACGGATTTCAATTTTGAGGTTCCCGGAACCATATTCAAATAATGGTTCTGCATATGTTTTGTCTCAAAGTGTGCGCGCGTGTTCAACGTGCTCATCAATTGCGACCGCGCGGGCTTCTCGCGCGCGCGCATTTTGAAATTATTCGAAATCTTTTGCGCGCTTGTTGGGCGACGCGATCTTTGTCACGTGGGCCATTCGCGCCCGTCGGCCGCTCGCGCATGTCGAAATCCCCCCGCGCCATGCATCGCCGACGCGCGAACACCATCATTGTCATCGGCCTGGCCAGCATCGGCGCCATAATTGGCCTTGCCGTCGTCGTCGTCGTCGTCGTCGTCGTCGTCGTCGCAATCGTCACCGCCATCGCGTCCGCTGTTGTCGACGCCGCCATGGTGCCGCGCCCGCGCGGGCCATCTACCCGCGTTGAAGTGCCTGCGCACAAGCGTGGCTTGCGATACGCTCTGGGAGGGCCCCCGCGGCCGCGTCGGTCGCGCGAAACTAGTCGGCCACTTTGCGCGCGACTCTGACCGCGTCTGCGCGGCCGCAGCGATGCCCCAGCCATTGTCGCAGCGATGCGCCAGCCAACCGCATGGGTTTTGCGCGCCAAGTTTCGGGAGGGCGGGCGCGGCGGGGGCTCGAGCACAGGAAGGGGGAATTTCAAGTGCCCCCCCTTTGCCCCCCCCCTCCGCCGCCGGCTTTATCGTTTCCCCAAAAATGTTTCGATTTACATAGGATGTGGTTCTGCCCATCGTTCACCCTCAGCACGACTCAGCACCAGTCCACTAGGCCCGGCATGCCCCCCTTCTCGCATTAAACGCGCGCGTTCGTTTGTCACACCATTGCATGTCCAACTGCCTTGTGCAAGCCGTCGGGCGAAGTCGACGCGCGCGCGCGTTGCTGCGCGCGCAAACTTGTGTTCCTAAACCTTTGGTTTCGTGAGGATGTCAACGTCGGGACTCCCGAGCACGTTCGCGTTGGTTTTGCAACATGGTTGTTCTAAACAGAGGCAGCTCGCGCCCCTCCGCGAATTCTTGCGAGCCCCATGTTTTTTATTTTAGCGTTGTCTCCGAATGCGACCCAGCGGGCGTGTCGCGAGCGCGCGCCCAGATCATTCGAGCGCCCTTGCGCACTTGCCAGGGGGAGGGGGCGCGGGGGAGGGGTCGGGGGGGGGCTGGCTGGGACGGGGGGGCGCGACATTCTTTATCCTTGTCGAATGATAACACGGGCCGCTCGCGCGCGTCGGTCGCGCGCGCATGTCCGAATCATGCCAAAACCATGATCGCCGACACGTGGGCGCGATCGCAGTTATGGGCGTGGCGCGGCCACCATCGGCGCCGCAATCATTGCCTTAGTCACCGTCAAAATCGCCGCTATCATCGCTACCATCACCATCGGGTCTGCATTTTCCGACGTCGCCGCGATAGTTGCCCGCCCCAGTCGCCGACTTGCGCTAGAGTGCCCGCGCGCGAGCGCGGCCTGTGAGACGCGCTGGAAAGACTCCAGCGGCCCGTGCCACCCCGGCCGCGTCGGTTGCGCCAAACTAGCTCGCCGCTCTGCGAGCGAGCCCGCGAGCGTCAGCGCGGCCGCGGCGATGCAGCGATGCGCCAGCCAGCACCAAGCGCCCAGCGCAATCGCCGCTGCATTGGTTTTGCAAACTGAATTGCGGGTGGGCGTGTGGGATGTCGGTGCGAGTAGTGGTTTTTAATGCTGTAAGTTTTTTCTGAACCATTTGCGCCGCGTGGATTGCACAACATACATTCCCAGGTAGTATAAGAAACACAACTTAGGATGATCCCCCTCCGGCTGTATCGGCGGCCCTGGGCAGAAACAATTTACATATGATTCTGCCCCGTGCATTTTAAAAGTGAGCTCGTGCCATCCCAGCTGGACCCGTCATCGCCCCCCATCCCCCCTTCATCCCTGTCACATGATGCGCGCGCTCGTTGATCACAAATCTTCAGTTTCCAAGGACCATGTGCACGAAAAGTGACAGAGTCAACGCGCGCGCGTCGTCGCGCTCGCATGCCGGATTTGTTTGAAAAGCCGTCGGCGTCGCCAGGTTGCAAGATTCAGGTGCCCAGAATCCGGGCCACCCGCCCGCGTCGGTCGCACGCGCGTGTCCAAAATCCTTCCAAAGTTTTCATTACTGACATGTGAACGCCATCCTCGTCATCGGCGGGACCAGCATCGGCGCCGGCATTGGCCTTGCCGTCGTCGTCGTCATCATCATTGCCACTATCGTGGCTACTATCACCATCGTGCCTGGTGCTGTCGACGTCGCCACGATACTGCGTCAACCCGAGTCACGGACTCGCATTGGAGTGTCCGCGCGTCAGCGCGGCCTCCGAGACGCGTTAGGAAGTGCCTGGCAGTCAGCGCCACAGCGGCCGCGTCGGTTGCCTCGAACAAAGTGGCCTCTCTGCGCTCGAGCCTGCGCGCGGTATCGCGGCCGCAGAGATGCGCCAGCCAGCGCCAAGCAGTCATCGCAATCGCCGCTGCATGTCTATTGTAAATCATGCTGCGGGCGGGCCGGGGATGATCGCGCGAGCAGTGGGTTTGACATTGACAGCCCACTGCGAGACAAAATTAGTTGCACCACGTATTTTCTTTTTTCTAGCAGGAATATAGAACCACCCATCCCACTTTTATCGCTTCCCCTTGATAGCGTGAAGTTTACATAAGATGCCACCTCGCCTGTCAATGTAATATGAACTCACATCATTCCAGCCAAGCCGGCACTCCCTCCATCATCTCCCTCTCGCCCATTGCAGATAAAATTGAGCGCGCGCTTTCGGGCGTAATCATCTCCGGCAAGAAAGGGACGAATTGCGCGCGCTCGTCGTCGCGCGCGCATGTCGGATCCGCGGGTGGGATGATCGCGCGAGCAGTGGAGTTGACAACGCACTGCCAGGCAATATCAATTACACCACATAAAGTGGTCCACGTAGACTGCACAACCTAGACTGCTAGAAACGGATTGTTTGGGGTCCACCGTTGGCTAGCATAGTGTTTTTTTGCAGGGGTCATTGGAGGGGTTTTGGCAGCGCGCGCAGGTTGCAATATGCCGCCCCCCCCGCCGCCCCTTCCAAACACCAGTGCGAAGCGATCGCCGGGCGTTCGCGTCCGCGCAGGGTTTTGGTGAACAGATATGATATTTGTATAATTTTGCTGCCAAGGGTGGCGTTCGGGGTGGGGTGCTGACATTGTCACCCCCGCCGGCTTTGTCAAAAACGAACGCGAAGTGATCGCGGGGCGTCCGCACATTATCCAGATGTTGATGCAAACGGTCCCTGGTTTTGTCACCATTCGGGCTGAGGAGGGGTATGCACTACGAACGGAAAGCGTGCAAGATTCGTCCCCCAGACGCACATTGGCTTGGCTCACTCCCACCCGCCCTCCCGACACATCAACAGTACCCGGGTATCGGTTTATTCAGCCATCGTCTTCGGATGGGCAATTGTGGGGAGCCAATCCAGTTCCCAAGTGCGCGATGCTGGGGCGAGGCGCGCCACGCGTACCAGGCGCGCCGCACGCACCGGGCGCGCCAGGCGCCCCTGGGCCCAAGCGTGCCAGGTACCTGGTGCACCAGATGCGCCACGTTGTCCACGTGCGTCAGGTGTGCCTCGTGCTGCAGCCTCGCCAAGTGCGCGGCGCTCGACGCGTGGAGTCTGCCAGGTACGCCCGCGCACATCGGGAGACATGTCGACCCCCACTACATTTTCCGAAAGCCAATGTCCTCCTCCTCCTCCTCCTCCTCCTCCTCCTCCTCCTCCGCAGCCGCGGCGACATGGCCATCATGATGACTGGTGGGCCTGCACACAGCAGGCAATATGCCAGTACCCCCGCGGTTCCCGACAAAACCCGTGCACTGTGAGCGCGGGGTGCCCGCGCACGATCCAGATCTGGCCGCGAAGTGCAGTTCGCATCGCTGATAAGAGTGATTTGGTGGTCCTCCGCACGCCGGGCTACATGCTGGCCCCCCCCCCACCGTCGCGATGCCTCCGGCCAGTGCCGCCGATCCGGGGGGCTCCGGATTCGGTGATCTCCGCGGCTCTGTGGCCTCCTCCCTCCTCGATTCTTCCGGTTCTCTTTCTTCTCCTCTGGGGGGTAGCTTACGCCACGTAGCTCACGCCGCATATTCGGCGATTCGGGGCCATCTTGCATTGTCTAGGGGGCCTCTTGGGCCTCTCTTGGCTTCCTCTTGGGCTGTCTTGGGCGGTCGGGGCTCCGGAAGAGGAGTTTTCTATACCCCTCTGTCCCCCGGTACCGAAAAACGTCGGAAATGACGTCGGAAATATCCCTGTGTACCGAAAAATGTCGGAAATGACGTCGGAAATAACGTGCGCCCCCCCCCATCCCTGCAGAGCGAAGCTTGAGCGAGCTCAAGTCCACGCTCTCAGAAACTCACACGCGGGATCGGCGGATTAGGATGGCTGGGAGGGGGGCCCGCACTGGCCCTGGTTTGTCGTCCGTCGGGTAGGGGAGAAGGTGCATGTTGATAAGGAGCAGTGATGGACCCCTCCCCGAAAGGGAAGGAGGGAAAAAGTGATGGACGAGGAGACGCCCTGAACCACCTACGCCCTGGGGGGCTGGTGGGATTCTGGTCAGAACCAGGGCTGGACCTAAGCGTTGCTTTGCTGGATTTCGGCTGTGTTTTGTTTTTCGCTTTTGGCAGGGAGGTACATGAAGACAGGTAGGGCACAACGAAAAACAAAACGAAACCAACATGAACAACAACGTTTAGGTCCAGCGCTAAGGAGAGGTCCGTGGAGCAGCGGTACGGGTATGTTTGCGTTTCGCCATAACTGCCCACACAGAATCGGTCCCTAAGGGGTCACCTGCTTCCGTCTTGGAAGCCGTCCCATAGTCCGCTGGCGGCGCGCTCTAAACACTGAGTCCGGGGAATTTTGAACAGGTAGTTGTTTTGCAACTGTCCAGCTGCGCGCGGCCAACCCAGCCACCGTGTCACCGCAGTATCGACGGGTGGTTCCACCGCGCTCTCCTTCACAACATTTACGTCGCAGCTCAGCAGAGGCAATCCGCGCGGGCGCTCGCGGTAGCAACTCATTTCTTCTAGCGCTCTCCCGCACAAGCTTGGCAGAAGTATCTTGGGGCCGCCTGCTGGGCCCTGCGACGCTGTGGTAGTTGCAACGTTGCGTGATTATTGTGCGGCCTTTCTGGGACCTCTTCGGGGCCTCTTACGCTTGGTGGCCTCTTCGGGCTCCCTCGGCAGTCACTTGGGGGCGTCTGGCGGGCCTCTTGGAGGCCTGCCTGACTGGGGGAGGATCTCAGCACCATATTGGGCACAGCAGTTCCGCCCAGGCTGGGTTGAACCATCGTGGGGCCGTCGGAGCCTGTCTCGGGGCCGTCTTGGAGCACTCCAGGGGCGGCACTGCGCTGTCAGGCCCGCCGCTGGCCGTACCAGCAGGAGGGCCAGATGGTATCGCTCGCGGAATGGCGGGCAGCTTTATTCGATTCTCGCTGCCTGGCTTTCGGGTCGTGGTTCGGTTCTCCAGTGGTTTCTCGGGACGATTCGGGGACCCCCAGGAACGCCCTCGGCGAGGGCAGCCGCTGGAGAAAGCATCCCGTGGCTGGAAGCCGCCGAGACCCGACGAACACGCCTGAATAACACGAGTTTCCAACACTGGACCAGCTGACGTTGCCCCCGAGTGGCAGGGGGTCCGCGGACATCGCGGCCGCTTCCAACTGCGCCGTCGTTCAGCCGCACTACCTCGTGTGCTGCGCGGACTTCTGCGACGGCATCTTCAGCGAGCTCGAGGAGACTTTTTTTTGCATGCGGGCACGATGTATATCAATATCCGCTGCGTCTTGGTATTTCTTGGAAGCGGCGCCAAAAAGCCGAGGCGCAGTGGATACGCGTAAGAGTCTAGCCTCTAGGGGCCAGATTTCTACTCATATCCTCTGCGCCTCGGGCTTCTGGAGAAGAGAGCCGAGAACTCCAAGACTCAGTGGACATTGATACAACTCTCGCCCGCGTTTCAGGGTCTGGCGACGACCCGCGTTGGCGGGCCTGCCCCGCCCCCCCCCCCGGATAGCCCAGCCCTGTCAGCTGCGCAGGTCCGAAGGGGGTGCGCAGTATTGGTGCGCGCGGGAATGCGTGTGGCGGCCCAAAGCAGTTGGGTTAGTTTATCGGCCGGCAGCTCCCTTCCCCCCCAAAACGGATCATTTGGGTTATCGCCGAAAGATAAAACAAACCAAAACAGCAACATCTCGAGGCGGGCGTCGGTGGCCCCGTGGCGCCTCCGGAGCAGATCCTGAACCTCGTCGGCAACATGTCGAGGCAGAACGACGACCTCGACGACGAGGACCGAGGGGTGTTGGTGCGGTGGACGATGGCGAGGTGGACGTTGCTGATGATAGCGATGGGGGCAACGACGACGAAAGCGATGACGACGATGACGACGACGATGATGCTGCAGACGATGATATGATGCTGATGATGATGGTGGTCAGATTGATGATGTTGACGATGACGATGACGATGTTGACGATGATGGTGATGATGATGGTGATGCTGATGATGATGAGGATGATGATGCTGATCATGATCGTGATGCTGATGATGCTGATGATGATGGTGGTGGTGGTGTAAATTAATAACATACGGTATATTGTTCTGTTGGCGTGTTCAGGAATGTCTATATTGTACACATTCGGTTTCAACTTTTTACGACTTTTCGAATGAAGCAATATCAGTGTTAACCAAAAAATATGGAATCGGATGTTGATGCTGATGATGATGCTGATGATGATGATGATGGTGGTGGTGGTGATGATGATGATGCTGATGATGATGATGAGGAGGAGGAGGAGGAGGAGGAGGCCTCGAATCTTCTAGTCTCGACCCCCGAACCCCGTAGGAGAACCCGCGGCTGCGTGGCTCGCTGTCGCGCCAGCTCGACAAGATCGCGGCGGCGCACGGCGGCCAGGTCCCGCTGCACGGGCGCCTCTTCGCGCAGTGGCTGCACTACGCCTTCCCGCGCGAGTGCCCCTTCCCGCACAAGAGCGGCTCGACGAAGCAGGCGGCGCTCCCCCTCCTCTCCGAGAGGCCTCCCAAGGGGGCCCAGAGAAGCCAGAATCAGTGATGTCCGTGTGTGTGTGTTTGCTTGTTCTTCTTCTGCTTATGTGTTATGCTTATTCTTGCTATTTTCTATAACATAAAAAACCTTCTAGAACATTCGGATCTCCGATGCTCCAAGACGGTCCAGAGGCCCCCAATATTCCGCGCGTGCCCGGCTGGCTAGTTGTTGCCCTTGTGAGACCATGTTGCAGACGTCGGTGCTCTCTCTAGGTTTGTGGAAGTCGATGAATGGAGAGGAAGCGTGCTGGCAAATAATTTCCAGGTGTCTAGAAGATGGTTCAAGCATGCTTTGAATATGTTAAAAAATGTTTGAAACAGTTTTAGAACATGCTTTACACATTTTAAACACATCTACATTGCCATGGCATCCACAACTCTAGGTTGGCGTTTCTGGCACAGTGGTTGGTGGTGGGGGGCCTGTGCCGCTGGGCGGTGCTGGGCCTGCCCTCTGCCCTTGGTTGCTGGCAGGCCCGGCCTTGCCCCTCGAAGTGTCCAGCTCATCCCCCTTTCCCTCGGGGGCGGCAAAGAGGGGGGTGATGACTACAGTCAAGACGCTGAGATAAGGAACAGTTTGGGTTCGGAAGGGGCTCGATGTTCCTTAGGTTCCTCCAGTGCTCTTCCTCTTGCCCTCCTGGGGCACGGAGGCGCTTACAGGGCCAAGAAGGGGCTTCGTTCCTTATTTAGCGTTCCTTCTTTCAGCGGCCCGACTGTAGGGGGGGTGGATATCATGGCGTGGGCCATGATCTTTCCTCAGATCTCATGGCCCCTCTTCTTGTTTCACTTCGTCCCTGGCTCCCTGGCCCCCCCCCATGGGCCGCGCACATGCCGCCGGCCATGATTTGCGCCCCTCCTCTTGGACGCCCCCCTCTTGGCCGCCCCCGATTCCCCTCCTCCGCAGCAGGTTTTGGGTCGTAGGAGGGAGGGGGAGGGGGAGGGAGTCTTGAACACCAAGGCTTTGTTTATTATGTTTCGCCCGTTTGGGACCTCGGGCGCCCTCGTCGCCGCATCTGGGTCAGCCTGGGAGTCTCCCCTGGAGAGGTCTTTTAAGCGATCTTTTTTCTCTCGTGAGGTTGAGGATTAAGAGGTCGAGAGGGAGTGAGGGAGGGAGGGAGGGCGGGAGACATAACAGGGGAGGAAGGGGAGGGAGGAAGGGGTCGACGGAGGGTTTCCAAACACACTGCCATTCCTCAGACGAAGTCTGGCCCAAATACTGTATCCTCCCCCGTCTCCCCCTCCAGGAGGAGGGGGGGGGAAACGAGGTGGATGCAGGGGAGGGATAAGTCCGTGGCGATGCTTTTTGGTCCTGCTCCTGCAGATCACCCTCTCTTCCTCCTCACTTTCTTACTCCTCCTCGTTCTCCCTCTCCTTCCTCCTCGCCCTCCTCTTCCTCCCCTTCTTCCTCCTGCTCCTCCTGTTCAGGAGGACCTTCTTCTCAGGGGAGGGAGGGTGAGGGGGGGACCTCCTCTTCCTCACCCTTCCCATCCTCCTTTCCCGCCCTATCCCCCCCTTCTTCCTAGACGTTTGGGTAGGTGCTGCCCAAGAGCTTCGAGGGCGACCACTACATTGTGCGGGAGGAGGACAGGCTGAGGCACCTGGGCGCCGAGCCCCTCGGCATGCCGATCGAGATCGAGAAGGCCCCGCCGCCGTCCCGCGTCCTGCCCGAACCAGTCAAAGCCAAGAGCCCGTCCAGGCCCAGAGATAATCTCCGATCCTGTCCAAGTGCTTTCGTGGAACGATCCTGCTTGATGGGGTGAGCGCTTGGAAGCAACGGATCGTTGCACCAGTCGTTTCTGGGCATGCCTCTGGTCTGGTCTGAATGCGTCCTCGATCTTAGTGTGCCCCTGACTTCGCGCGTTCTGGGTGCTCTGCACCCCCGAGCTCCATCCTTACGGCTGCATTTGACACTGCTCTCTCCCCTCTCCTTATGCCTTCCGCCATAGGACACAATGCAGTGGATGTCGCAGTGGAGCTCAGAGGAGGAGCTCCTCCTCCTCCTCCTCCTCCTCCTCCTCCTCCTCCTCCTCCTTCTCCTCCTCCTGCTCCTCCTTTTCTTTTTTTCTGCTCTTCCTCCTCCAGCTCCACCTCTTCCCCCTTCCTGCTCGCTCTCCTGGTTCCTCCTGCAGTTCCTCCTCCCCCCACCTCCTCCAGCTCGAGGAGCTCCTGTCGGACTACACCACGGCCATGCGCGACCCCTCGGCGGTGGACTGGCTGACGGTGGCTGGCGTAGTAATCTTCCTTGCCGCGCTCGCTGCTGGAGTGGTTGGTGCACGGGGCCAGTCGGGCGCATCGACGCACCGGAAGTCCCACTTCGTGTGAAGAGGCCGCTGGCATGGCGCCATGCCGCCCCTCCGCGCGCCACCATTCCTCCAGCTGGCCTCCTTCCTGTCTCCCTGCTCTTGCCCAGCACCTTTGCTTTGTACTTGCTCCATCCCCTCCTCCTTGCTACGTGCGTTCTCCCTGTTGCCTCCTTCCTGGTATCGCCTTCCCCTATCCGCCCATCCGCCCTCCTCAGTCGCTTCGCGCACTCCGCCGAGCCGTGTTTTACCGTTCGTGCGACTTACCTACGCGCTCGTGGGCATTGGGACGTTGTGGGATGCGGTAGTGTCCCCACTTTGCCGTATGAGACTTGCGTAGGGGAGAGGGGGTCGCTTGGTATATCGAGTACAACACTCAACAGAGAATGCCCCCAGTGAGTTAAGTCTCGCCATTAGGCAATTCCAAGTCCTTGCGTGGGCTGTCGGCCCACGCCAGGACTTTGAGTTGCCCTCGTGGGGCCCTCTCGAGGCCCTCCTGGGGAATTTCTCAGCTCTCTCAGAGCTCGTTTGGGGCCCTCTTGGGGATACCAAGGGACCGAACAGATAATTGAAGCCCACGGAGGCAGACACACAGCAACCATAGAACATATCGTTGTTGTCGTGTGATCCTGGCGATCTGTAGGACATGGCGATGGCCATAAGCGCTACCAAGGGGTCTCTCATGTGCTTCTTGGGGCCTCGTGGAGGTTCTCCTGAGCTGTCTTGTGCCATCTTGGGCCTCCTGCAGACATTGGAAGGTTTCTCCTTTCGATGTTTGTTTTGCCGTCTGTCAGATGCGCCTCATTGGAGGGTGGGCGACTGCTCGACGACGACGAAGACCGTGGCGATGACGATGGCGAGGATGACCGAGGCGACGAGGAGATGCGAGCGTGGGCGACGGTGGCGACGGCAAAGAGAGGGGCTCTGGCGATGATGGATGACGAGGTGGATGGCGGTGGTGAAGACAGCGGCGCCGATGCTGGGTCGCGGTAGCCACCGTTAGAAGGCGGTCGACGATGGCGACGGGATAACGCGGGCAAGCCACTCCTCCTAGAGTTCTAGGAAGCCGCGTGGGCTGGCGGGCAGAGTCGCAGGCTCCCTGGCGGCGCGGGGTGGGGGGGGGCACCCCGCTTCTTAATGTAGTCACACCGTATGACGCGATCCTTGTATATAGTCAAGCAGATATCATCGGCTTCGTATGTTTTTCAAGCTCGGCAGGTGTTCGGTGAATGATCTTGCTTTTTCATATAGGTTCTCGGCGGCTTCCTCACCAAACTGGTATCATAATCATGATGATCGTTCAAGGTTTTCCGGCGAACCGATCGGTATTTGCCAGAGTTCTTTCCAGATGCCTGGTGGTTTGCGCAGGTCCCCGTGTTTTTTCCCGGGCACTCCCGCCAGGTAAACGCGATTGTCCTGCCCATGGCAATCACGGTTTATTCCTTGTTCTCCACTGTGTCGGTTATTGCGATGGTTCTTCGTAGCTTAAGGGCGCAAGTCAAAACACCGAGAGCAGAACCTTCCAATGTCAGTATGGGTCATGCTGGTGGCCAGTTGGGGCTGCATTGGGGCCATTTCGGCACCTCCCTCCCAGTGGCCTCCGCTGCAGGGCCGCTCTTGGCGCCCCTTTGGGCTCGGTTGCAGCCCCCCTTACCCCCTCATTGAGTGCTGGGGCCTTCTCAGGGCTCTGTTGTGGCCCTCCTGTAGCCAGCGCTGGGCTGGGGTCGAGAAGCTAGCTGGAGTTCGCAGAGCAACAGAGGCAGAAAGAAACGAAGTCATCGAAGCTAGCTGGAGTTCGCAGAGCAAGAAGGCCAAACAACATAGTATAAGTGATTATTCTCCATCTTGTCACCCGTGCTGCTCGCACCATCGTCAAATGATTGGTGCCTTTTCACGGCAGATATCTGGTCTAAACTTGTGTCAATTGGGCCAGCTTCTAAAGTGCGGGCGCGGTGAAGGAGGAGTGTACATTATGGATGCATGGTCAAAGACTGCCCGTGTCCCAAAACGCGGGGAACTCGCTTGGGACGTCGAGCATTTGGTTCGGCATCACAAGAAACACATTTTTGGACGACAGCGGACCCCGAACCTTGAAGAGGTCAGCGGCGCCCTGTTGGACATAAAGAATAAAATATCGCGGCACTACCACTTCCAAAACACAGGCGAGAGTCCACCAAACGAATGGAGGCATATCCGTGTAAAGCCAGCCCGCGTTACGACGTATCCTGAAGATTTTGAGTACGACCCAGTGTGGCAGACATACATCCACGAGGTATACAGTGGGGTGTGGAAGGCAGCTGTAGTGGCTCGATCTCGATTTGGGCCCCTCCCGAGGCTTCCAGGAGTCATCTCAGGTGCTCTCAACAAGCTGCGGCGAGGAATGTGGGGGTGCTTACCGACTGACAAAGACGATGGTTTTTGTCTTGTTCGAAAGGCGCGCCTAGCAGACTTATACGGGGACGCATTGATGGACCCAGCTACGTATCAAAGAATTCCAGATTTCGACCCAGTGAACATCATGGAGGAATATCGGGACGTATCCAAAGAAATCTCGACATATGGGGTCGACGAGCCTGATAAGAATTTGCATCGTTCCTTGATGAGCTGCTGCGCAGAGTGCCCGGAGAAAGTGGTATGAAATTTATCTGCGACGGTGAAGACGCACAAGCCCGCAGGGAAGGTGGGTTTGCGCATCCTTCATTGCAGCGTTCCTCGCTCTCCCTTCCTACCCATGTACAAGTACGTTGCCACGGAGCTGCGGAAATGCCTGAAGAGCATTCCGCATTTGATTCGTGATTCAAGTGATTTCGTTGCGATGATAAGAAGCCTTCGACTGCGTGAGCAAGCAACGATTCTAAACATTGACACCAAAGACTACTTTATGTCAGGCGAACACCCATCATTGGTCCAAGAGTGCCGAAAGTTCTTCGAAGGCGCAGCCAAGCATAGATTCAAGGATGCCCTTGGATTCGTGATGAAGCACCAGTACGTCAAACTTACTGGCCACGATCCTGTCTTTCGCGTCGTCCGAGGGACAGGCATGGGATTAGCTTATTCCGGAGAGGCAAGTGACGGGGCATTCTTTCAGATGGCAGAGAAATGGTTCATCGAGGACGCGGGGTATCGCGAGTCTGTGGGCCTCTTGTGCTACTTCAGGTTCAAAGACGATATTATATGTTTCTTCGACGGCCCCCGTCAGGACCCGATGGGCTTTCTGTGTGCCATGCGCGAGAGATCGGGCCCGTTCAAGCTGGAGCTCGAATCCCGCAGCCACGATGGTGCGACGTTCCTCGACGTGGACATCCGCAGGGGACGTAAATCTGAGGGCAGAGCCGGGCTAGAGTTCGGTATCCACACGAAGCCATCTTCTCAATGGACCCCTCTCTCTCCCTTTTCCCTTCATCACCCCTCAGTGCATCGAGCGTGGCCCCAGGCGCAAGTTTCGCGTTTCGTCAGGCTCTGTAAGCAGAAAAGCCAGGCAGAGATTTGCACGTCGCGCTTCATGGACCAGCTCAGAGCAGCTGGCCATCACCTGGTGCAATCAGACAGAACTACTCGCCCCCACCGCCGTTCCAGAGATGGGGAGTCCAGAGGTGCCATTCGGTATCTTGTTCTTCCGTATTTTCCCCAGCGGCACCAGTCCCAAATTTGTAGGGTCATTGCGCGCCTGAATCGAATCTGGGGCCCCCGCCTCGGCGTTCAGTTGAGAGTGAGCTGGCGCCTGGGGGATGCGCATCTTGTCAGTGTACTCAAAGGGTTCAATGCACGCTTGTACGAAGATGCACTGCAGCAGATTATAATGCTGCGGAGATAAGTTTTTGGGTGGATGGATGGGGCCGAAGGAGGCCATAACCCTTATAACCCTTTCTGGCAGCAAAATGCCGGACGCAGCGACGACATGCCCTAATTAGCAAAAACGCCGTAACGCCAGCCCCCGCCGTTACGACAAAGGGCGCCGGCGCCGTTACGACAAGGGGCCTTCCGTAGTTCCAGGCTCGAGCAAGCTTAGCCAGCGAGTTCACACCCAGGGTCGGCAGAGTCCTGGGCGGGCCTTTTTTGTCCCGTGACACGTACTTCCAGCGAGTACAGCAGGAGAAAAGCATTGATCGTTGTGATCGTTGTGATCGTTGTGATCATTGTTATCGTTGTTATCGTTATCGTTATCGTTGTTATCGTTGTTATCGTTATCGTTGTTATCGTCGTATATAGTCAAGCAGATATCATCGGCTTCGTATGTTTTTCAAGCTCGGCAGGTGTTCGGTGAATGATCTTGCTTTTTCATATAGGTTCTCGGCGGCTTCCTCACCAAACTGGTATCATAATCGTGATTATCGTTCAAGGTTTTCCGGCGAACCGATCGGTATTTGCCAGAGTTCTTTCCAGATGCCTGGTGGTTTGCGCAGGTCCCCGTGTTTTTTCCCGGGCACTCCCGCCAGGTAAACGCGATTGTCCTGCCCATGGCAATCACGGTTTATTCCTTGTTCTCCACTGTGTCGGTTATTGCGATGGTTCTTCGTAGCTTAAGGGCGCAAGTCAAAACACCGAGAGCAGAACCTTCCAATGTCAGTATGGGTCATGCTGGTGGCCAGTTGGGGCTGCATTGGGGCCATTTCGGCACCTCCCTCCCAGTGGCCTCCGCTGCAGGGCCGCTCTTGGGGCCCCTTTGGGCTCGGTTGCAGCCCTCCTGGGGCCCTCATTGAGTGCTGGGGCCTTCTCGGGGCTCTGTTGTGGCCCTCCTGTAGCCAGCGCTGGGCTGGGGTCGAGAAGCTAGCTGGAGTTCGCAGAGCAACAGAGGCAGAAAGAAACGAAGTCATCAAAGCACAGGTGTTTGTTTTTTTGTTGGCTCTTGTCATCTTGGGTGACTTTGGGCATCCCTTTGTGGCTATCTATCTATCTGTGTATATATAGATGTACGGATGTGTGTGTATATATATATATGTATCTAACAGGGACCTCCATAGAGCTAACCAGATGCCTCTCAGGAGCTTCTTAGGGGCTCGTTGGCGTTCTTTGCGGGCTGTC